ATGAGCTAATATCGGAAACGGGGGGGGGGTAAGAAGGTTGTGCTGTGCTAACGCAAACGACTTAACGTGTGAAGTGAACAACTATGTAGTACGATTGTCATTCGCATCACATCTGCGGCCAAACTTGTCGAACAAGTACAATAACATCAAACGTTACCACAGCAACAACACGTGAAACATTCGGAATGGTACAAGTGGTCGAGAGCGTGAGTCGCCTCGGAACTGCTGGTCACTTCTTTGCCGCACGCGCTGCAATAGCCTAAAAGAAACGACAGCGAAGTTCGAGTACACGGTCGCGGTAACGAACAACAAAATATTACCATACATGACGTTCCTTGCTTTCAGTTCGTTTTCGACCTCCCGTTCGAGTATCTCGTACTGCGCCTGCTGGCGCAGCAGCGCGTTGGTCGCCGAATGGTCCGACGTGCCAACACTAGCGACGAGGGTCGTGTTACCGACGGCGGCTCTTACGTTAGGGGGAAGGGACGGAAGAATGGGGCTTTGGGGGCCCAACTGCTTCGTTGCACGGCCTTGAGGTTGCTCGACGGAAACGGCACGCGTGGAGACGGTGGACGGAAAGGCGAGGTTCTGTCGAGCTGCTGAAACGGACGACCGGACACCGTACGACGGATCTACCGAAACCGCGCACTGTAACGCGGCGCTAGCGTCGTCAAGGGTGTTCGGGGCTGTCACCACAGCCTGGCAAGCCGTCCTGCGAATTCTGCTTCTGCTGTCACCGGTGAGAAACTCTGCGTCCTGTTGGCACGTAGCAGCTGTGCCAACGGCTGTGGCCGCGGCGGTGTGCTCCAATCGCTGCTGTGCATCAGAGTTTTCGGTTACAGCGAATGAAAACGACCGCCTGCCGTCGGTCTCAGGCACTTTGCCATTGTGGGTGTGAGTCGATTTACTGAAAATATCCGACACTTCCTTGTCTGCGATCAACGTCTGGTATCCATGCATCGGAGACAGACATTTCGCGTCGTTCAGTCCGTCAGCCGGCCTGGCAAGCTTCTGCTGATCGCTACCGGCCGATCGGACCGAACCCTCGGCGCCACATACATGGTCACAACGCGTATCCGAATCCGACCTAGCCTCGCCGACGCTCTCTTTTGAAATTACGTATCTGTAAGCATTGTTATACGCGGATGAGGATGTCGACGAATCGACCCTGGAGTAAAACGGCTGTGGTCCATCGATCGGAACCGCGCTCGATCTGGCCACCGAATCCAACGTGCTCCGCGGCGGCAAAGCGGCTACCGCTTCGGCGGCGGCAGCGTTTGGTAGCATGTCCGTGGACATCGGCGAAGCGCACATGTTGACCGGGCGCGTCTCCTTTTTGACCGCTTCCTTCAAGGCGTTCGCTTGCTCCTTGGTGATGCGAATTTTCTCGCAATCGTCGTCCTTCATCACGCTGCCGGTCTGGGCGGAATTCGTCGCCAACCATTTCGACTTTTCGATGCGTCCTCGGTTAGCGTACGGATGAGCCGATGACAGCTGAAACTTTCGAACCTTCTGACCGAACTCCTCTTCATGGTCGCTGGTCGACCGTAAAACGAACTCGGACGTTACCGGATGCTTGACGGTCCGCGGATCAGACCGTTCGACCGACTCGGCGAATATGTTGCGCAGCGGCGGCGGCGATCGGAAGCTCTCGATGTCGTCCAGCCATTTTCGAGTTTCCAGGTCCTGCTTCAGCAGCTCTTCAGAATCCATCGAATCTGGAAACCCACCAGTTAGTTAACAACAAATAATTAGCCGACAAAAGAACAGCCGTTGTTCAGATGTGCATGTACAGTGCAGTCAGTACTGCCGACAAACTTTCGCACATTTACCGCACCCATCTCCGTTAGAACTTGCTGATCCCCCCCCC